TCCATATTTCTAGTCAACTAAACACAAAATTGGAAGTTTAACTAAAAGTTTGCTTAACTTAATATATTATGTTGATTAAACATGCACAAAAGTTTGTACAACTAATTGACCTTTAAGTTGAGTAAACTAAAAAATCTGCTGAAGCTGGTTGCCTTAAAATTTTAAGTTTGCTCAACTTCTGATTTTTTACAGTGTAGTTCAAGGTTAAAACAGCCGTGTTCAGAGGAAATTCCTCCAGGGAGATTTAAACCATTATCTAGAGTAGTAATGTAAAATGAGTACGAGTAAGTTAAGTCATTTATTTATATAGCGCTTTATATGATTGATTGTTTCAAAGCAGCTTTGTTAACGTTAAACATCAATTATGAAACAAAGACAATTTCAGCTGTAAAGAAGACAATAGTGTCATTATTCAGCTCAATTCAGTGTCGATTCAATTCAATTCAATAATAGTGTCAAAGATGTATCATTAACCAGCATAATTCAAGTTCAGTTTTGCTCTCATCCGAAAGTAATATTTAACCCTTTAAACTCTACCAAATATGAAGAGAGAAACTCGATCTGATCTGTCTATCATCTATTTCACTGACCGGCTGACTGACTGATTGTTTGGTCGGGCCATTTTTACACTACAACTGGCTTCAGCGGTTCAAAAAGAACCTGGCTCCAACAAGTCAACAAGTCTGGTTCGGTTTGGTTTATGAATGTACCTGCCTGCAGAACAGAAGACTAGTTTATACTCCTGAAGTAAATCTTCAGAAATAACACACACACATTATCAAGTGATCCTTAGCTTGTGTGTCTTGACTGTATCACAGACGCTTGTAAAATAAAATACAAATGAAACACGTGTGAGCTGAAGGTTATAAAAGCGGATTGATCTCGTAACACGGTTCATATCTGTGAGGGAAGCACAAACTCAAAGCGTCTGTTTACAGTGAGCAGTTTTAATAAGCGCACGGCCCGCTGCACTCGCATCTCGCATGATTAAAAAATAAAGCTGCGAATTCAATCCCTCTGTTTGGTGAAAACCAGTGCCAAACTCTCGCTCTGTCCCGACAAATTAGTGTTAACAGGCACAAGTCTGGCCAGTAAATCCACATATGCTGAAAATATTCTCTCTGTGTCTCTAAACGGGCCTGAAAGTCTCATGAACGCACACTGTACACATAAAGTGTAACCAAGTTTTTTTTTTATGCGCACCAAGGCTGCATTTATGTGGTCAAAAATACAGTAAAAACAGTAATATATATTACAATTTAAAATAACTTTTCTTTTTTAATTATATTTTAAAATGTAATTTATTACTGTGATCAAAGTTATATTTTCAGCATCATTACTCTTCATGTGAATTCACATGATTCTTCACAAATCATTCTAATAAGCGTTCTAATATGTTTTCTGTCGAAAAACCAATTATTTCACAGATAAAACCCTAAAAAGATCATCTCATCTCAAGAGATTATCTCATCACATACCATACAGTTAGTCAAAAACAGCAAACAGCTCTTCCTCATAAGAACTCACTGTAAACGCTGTTAAATGCACATTTGTTTCCTGGTGGACTGAGATAAACCTGTGCACAATGATTCCTGGAAAACATCTAAACCTAGGCAATCAGAGCTTGGCATTTCGAGAAACTGTAGCCATTCAGGAGGTTGTTGAACGTCTATGATGGAGTGAAAGCGACAGACCTAAAATAAAACATCTGCTTCAACTGCTCAATCCGTCATTCCTTCAGGACACAGAGAGTTAACAGAGCCCGAGAGAGAGAGCGAGAGAGAGAGAGAGAGAGAGAGAGAGAGACTTTTTGACTTTAACACACTTTATTAAAACATCTAAAAACAAACACTACATTATACCCCA